CTGACATCAGTGCATCTTTGTCCCAATTCATGATTGTTGGACTGGGTAGATTGTTCGAGGTCAAACCATCAGAAGCTGTCATTTATTCTGTCCTTTTCTTTTGGATGTTTGGGGCTGCGGGCTCATTTTTTCACTTGACATCACTCACATGGCAAACTTACATGATTGCAAATTATCCCATACGTTGCCGACAGATGTTGTCTACCAGAAAAATATACATATTATGCGTGACTGTTTGGTTGATTGCCATTGGCATGGCATTTGGTGAACTCATATCAATTTTTGACGAGAAATTTGACCACGTTATGTACACTTATATCACGCTATATGCTGTTTTGGAGATTGCTGTTTTACTTCAGATCATTTTGAAGTGTTTCATACTTAAGGTTGTATTGCAAAGTCGACAAGACACTAAAGTAAATGCTGAACAGCACAACACTAAACACCTTGAAATTCTAAAGGCAATCATTCTGCTGAATGTCTTATTACTGGTAACTGCATTTCCTTATTTTGTCGCCAAACAAGTGGAGTTTATTCAAAGGCTTGGAAAAATACAAGGTGAATTGGCTGGACGTTTTTCTTACTACTACGAACCAGTTGCCATGGTGAATTTCGCTGTCAATCCAATTGTGTATGCACTGAGGCTTCCAGATTATCGAAACAGTATGACGGCGTTGTTTAGAAAGAAGAATACTGTTTTTACTCCAACATCCCAGTCAACGACCTTTTCCTTCCGGTCCACCAATGAAACATTTGCGATGTAACTACATTCATCGTTGATAACTTTATGATTAATATATAAATATTTTATTTGGTTATAGTATAGGTAATATTAGCATAGTTTTGAAGGAAAGATGATAGAAAAACAAACTATCATGATTTGTAGCGAGATTTAACTGACTAAAATTTACAGCCAACTTTTTGACTTTTCTTTTCATGAGAAAGATCAGCAGTGTAATCCTTTTTTAACGGTACATATCATTAATCAAATAAACCTTGAACTTAGAGACGTTACAGATTTGCTTAATGCTTCGATAAAAAATTTGAAAGAAAAAATGAGTCTTGCTTGTTTGTTAAGTTTTCTATAGCTTGTTGAAAAAATAACAACAAACTTACTTCATAAATCGGCTGCTACTTGGTGGTTATATTGGAAAACAAAACTTCGGTATAAACAGAACTTCGTTCCATCGCTCAAAGAGTAAGTTGATCTGTTCAAGATAAAGAAAATGTGTACGCAGCTAACGTACAGTCGCAAGTGCACGGACAGATAAATACAGAATCCTTTCATCGCAGGCATATGAGCCAAAAGAAACGATAACGATGAACCATCAAAATGAAATTTGCATAGTTTTTATTCTACTTGCGTTATGATGAAAAGTTTGCTTACACAAAAAATTCTTGCGATGACCCATAGCACAAACTTACATTGTGTGCTGAAACAGGAAATTTTGCTATAGCATTTATTAGTACGTTATTCTTAACATTGAACGAATTTATGTTTTGAAATATGACAAATTAAGATACCTACAACAAAGACTTTGCTAAGAATTCTCAATAACATGAGACCAACCTGGGCCCTGGTAAAGCCATAACTTTTTAATAACAACAAGACATTCTGCACACGAATAAAATTTATTTTGGTGAATGAATCAGTTCACTGCAATATTGAAGAAAGTAGAATTCAATACATAACGTGGAGGGACATTCGTTTCACTCTCTTCATCAATGTACAGCCAATCTCCATTTTCTTCTTTGCCTGTACTTCCTGTATACAAAGGAAGTTTGTGTACATCTTCATGATGCCCAGCCCAAGTTTTAAAGTAGTCGGACGTAGCCGTTAAGCTACTTCGGAGGTCAACACCAACCCAGAAGAATATTTGTTTTGTCTGTTTCAAAACACCATATACATACACGCGGTCTTAATTTACCATACCATATAAGACATTTTATTTTGCTATCAGTTGAGTATTTGTGAGAAAATGAGTTAAAAACGCATCACACGACGAACGCGAGAGTTGTTTTTCTTTATAATATCCAAAACGTATTGTAAGAAGGCCAGCAGACGACAAAGAAGTTAGTCGTGGAGGTATATAATAATTATTATTTGTAATAGCAGGATAACTGCGTTTTAACAAACCCTGTCGTTCGTTTGAGCTGATAGTACGATTAATAAAACATTTCGACATGTGGCTTATCGAATCCTTTTAAACCAAATTTTAGTCTTTGATTCATGTAATACCAGACTTTGTACACTTCAAATTAGATTTTTGTATAAGTCAATTCTATTACTTTTTTAGACAGGTGGAACTCGGCGTACATTTCCTTACATAAAATCAATTTCTGAGGTCACGCTATGGTACCTGTACAATATGTTTATAGATACGTTGTTTTGATATGTTTGTTGAATGTATATCCTGTGCCAGTGGTCAAAGCTAGCGACAATTCTATCAAAATGTGCAATTCGCATAAAATAGATCAAATAAATTGCATAAGGAATTCCCCCGTTTCGCAAAATAATACAAAAGTAAGTATTATATAAAAAGTATTATAAGTCATGAAAATAAACTCGAGTGCTTTGTTGACTGCAAAGAGAAATGCATTCAAAGAAATACATACAAGCATACGAGAAAAACGTACACGCGTTTGCTCTTTTGTATTACACAACAACGTTACATGCAGTGATTTTATCATGAAATTTGACATTTTGAGAATAAGCAAAGCTATTATGTGCAGTTCATTTAATTAGCATTTTGTGGCTTCATGGTAAGCTGTAAAGATAAACATTGCTATCCAAAGTTATTTGGCAAAATCAAATAAGTGTATGATAAAACATGCATAAAACGATTTCACCAATATCTCCGAATACGAACGAAAAATATCAAAAAGATACGAGAAATTGTTTAGAATTACCATTATTTTATGCATATTTACAATATCAAGTCATTTTCACTTGCTTGCTTTCTTCAAGAGTTCAAGAGTACCAGGCAAAAGACAAGATCTGCATATCTCTCATGCATATCAAGAACTTAATTTTTTTATATGTACCGAGATATGATATTTTCATCAATTTCTTCTCTGTGTAATGAACTAGGCAACTACATGATATTCAACATTGTTTGTTCCTCGTGAAATTGGAATTTTCATAGAAACAGCAAAGCTTGTGTTGTTTGCCTTGATAAGAACAAAACATAAAAATTACAACATTCCTCAAATTATGTTTACTTTATGTAGTGGCGTAAAAGAAAGCCCGTATATTTGGTCTTGCTATGCGAATATATCACTGTTCACACACAGTGGAAACTGAAAAATCCGTTCCTACAAAAATAATGGCAATGTTCTCAAACTCATATATAAGACTAAAACTTAAAAGCTTATGCAAAAGTCGGTGATAGTAAAACGACATCATTTTAAGTTTGGTCATCATTTGCAACATAAACATAAGCATAAGAAGAATTTACAGTTGATAATCTTTTGCAGTTATGCTCATGTTTATACTTTTGCCGAAAGTGAGAACCAGGATTTGAGCGTTATAATTTAGTTCCTCGTCTAAAAAGAACAAATTTTTATTTTTAAAAATATTTCAGCTTAAAATAAACATATATTTATGTATTTAATATGAAACCGAAGAAAAGTTTCTCAATTCCTCAAGAAACATTAATAACAACAATGGTGATCTCCACAGTTGCTGTCCTTACAAATGGTCTTCTTATTGTTGTTATTGTGACGGATCCTTTAAGCAAACTAAGACGAGGACCGTGGATTACTATCTTAAGCTTATCTATAGCTGATTTCACTGCATCTTTGTCCCAATTCATGATTGTTGGATTGGGTAAATTGTTCGAGGTCAAACCATCAGAAGCTGTCATTTATTCTGTCCTTTTCTTTTGGATGTTTGGGGCTGCGGGCTCATTTTTTCACTTGACATCACTCACATGGCAAACTTACATGATTGCAAAGTATCCCAAATACAGACAACAAATGTTATCTACGAAGAAAATTTACATATTATGCGCCACAGTTTGGTTGATTGCCATTTGCATGGCATTTGGTGAACTCACATCAATTTACAGCAAGAAAATTGAACAGCTTATGTACACGTATATCACAGTATATGCTGTCTTGGAAATCGCTGTTTTACTTCAGATCATATTGAAATGTTTCATACTTAAGGTTGTATTGCAAAGTCGACAAAACACTAAAGTAAATGCTAAACAGTACAACACTAAACACTTTGAAATTGTAAAGGCAATCATTGTGTTGAATGTCTTATTACTGGTAACTGCATTTCCTTATTTTGTCGCCAAACAAGTGGAGTTTATTCAAAGGCTTGGAAAAATACAAGGTGAATTGGCTTGGCGTTTTTCTTACTACTACGAACCAGTTGCCATGGTGAATTTCGCTGTCAATCCAATTGTGTATGCACTGAGGCTTCCAGTTTATCGAAACAGTATGAAGGCGTTGTTTAAAAAGACTAGAATTGTTTCCATTCAAAAACCAGGGCATTCAATCTTTTCACTTCGTACTAGTGCTAGTAAACCTGTATGATAGATAATATGTTCTAAACTCAATTTGATTAAAAATGTACGAATAGTGCTAATAGTTTTTATTGGAAGAATAAATTCCAAAGTGACAAACAACTGTGTGGTAAAAAAAAATTATAACAATTATTACAGCAATACTTATCACTTTTTTGATTCTACGTAACTTCAAAAGCGAGAGAATAATTGTGAATACTTTAATGAGACCACAAATTAAGTAAAGCACGTACATCAGGTACCTGGAAATATAGCAGTTTTGCTGAGATGAAAACCTTGACAAAAAGAAGAAAGATTTGTTATTTTCATCTTGGTATATTTGAAATGACAGCGAAAAGTACGTATAGGAATTTGTGGGAGGGAGTAAGGCCAATATAAGCCTCTTGAGAGCTGAAATTAAATGTTTCTTTGCACTATAACAACAATGCTACACAAACTATCCCCCTTCTTCTGGAGAATATTGCAACAAAAAAGGTGGGGCCAATTATCGTTTCCACCCGTTTACAGGAAATGAATTTTTAAAATCACTCACGTATGTGGGATGTACATGTGAATCCACCACATGCATGTGGACGTCACAAGGCCACTTTAAAAGAAAGCGGATTCAAAAATATCGAGATACGTGTTGACGGGTCATAAACATTATACCGACTGTATGAATACAAGTGATCAAATTGCATTAAACCATTCAGTCAATGCCAATCATCCCAGAGACAAGAAATTAGAACAGTTGATTAAACTGTCTGAGATCTCACTATGGTACTCTCACGATATTTCCAAAACGTCTATCCTTCCTTTATTTACGGATTCCTTATTCTTACAAGTTTGATCTCAGTATATCCAGTGACCAATACTGGTGATTTTTTGGAAACGCGCAATTCGACTCAACCAAATCATATAAATAACTCAAGGAATTCATCTGGTTTACGCAATCAAAGTGCTGTAAGTATATAATCTACTGCAGTTATATTTTTCTACCGATTGTATCAATATCTCATAGTACAAACGTTAAACATGTATAGATACAATTAAGAACTAGGAGATGTTCAAACTTTAAAATGTTGGCGACAATGTGGTAGTCATAAAAAAATTCTCAAGTTGCTTATACAAACCAGACTTCTAAAAAATGCTGAAAATCCAGTTTCAAATATCAATCTTTTCACAAAACGTTGAATGTTTGAAATCGCTCTCACTATTTATACGATTTTGAATAAAAATTAAGAGGCGAGTGTCCAGATAAATAGTTTTCTATTTAACGATACCATCAAGAATATAAAATTAAAACGTAGCGTCATCAAAGTGCTTTTTCCAGGAAAAGATCTATCCACAATTGTAGATTTTTGAATGTGTCATGTAAGTCAATTTCTCTAGTTGCTTCTAAATAGTCAGGACCTAACTTTCCTGACCTAAACGCATTACGTGTAATGAAGTGCGCAGTTCAGTAGAGTGCCTTCACAGTAATGAGCGAAGAAAATTCATCAAGCAACTAGTTCATGATTCTCAGTGTACGACTGTAAAAATTACCATTTATCTATGTGCAATTATGAATGTATATGAAAACATTTGACGTCTTTTCCTTTTTCTATATTTCATATGAAGCCCATGAAAAGTTTTTCACTTAGCTATGAAAGATTAATAACAACGATGGTGGTCTCCACAATTGGTGTCCTAACAAATGGTCTTCTTGTTGTTCTTATTCTTGTAGATCCGCTTAACATACTAAAACAAGGAAGGAGGATTACAATCTTAAGCTTATGCATAGCTGATTTTACTGCAACTTTATCACAATTCATGATTGTTGGATTGGGTAGATTGTTCGAGGTCAAACCATCAGAAGCTGTCATTTATTCTGTCCTTTTCTTTTGGATTGCGGGCTCATTTTTTCACTTGACATCACTCACATGGCAAACTTACATGATTGCAAAGTATCCCAAATACAGACAACAAATGTTATCTACGAAGAAAATTTACATATTATGCGCCACAGTTTGGTTGATTGCCATTTGCATGGCATTTGGTGAACTCACATCAATTTTTGTCGAGAAATTTGACCACGTTATGTACACTTATATCACGCTATATGCCGTTTTGGAGATTGCTGTTTTGATCCAGGTTATTGGGAAGTGTTTAATACTTATAGTAGTATGGCAAAATCAATAAAACACGACAGTAAATGCTAAACAGCAGAATAGAAAACATCTGGAAATGGTAAAGACAATTATCTTGCTAAATATCCTATTACTGGTAACTGCGTTTCCTTTTTTTGTGGCCAAACAAGTGGAGTTTATTCAAAGGCTTGGAAAAATACAAAGTGAATTGGCTGGGCGTTTTTCTTACTACTACGAACCAGTCGCCAAGGTGAATTTCGCTGTCAATCCAATTGTGTATGCACTGAGGCTTCCCGATTATCGAAACAGTCTGAAGGCGTTGTTTAAAAAGAACAGTTTTATTTCTACTGATACAGCACAGCAATCGACAACCTCGTTCCGTTCTGCTGATGAAACGATTGCTTTGTAGATAATATGCGTTGATTAATATGCATTTATAATCATATATAACTTGATTACAAATATATATAATGATTATGTTTTTAATATAGGTAATAACATAAACTTTAGTAGAATTTGTAGTTATACTTTTGTGTAATTTTTAGTGTAATGTTTGGATTTGTAGCCAATTTAGCCTGCAACAAACTATTTTGATAACCACATCAAAACATAGTACAATATCGTATCTAATAATACGTTGTCCTCCTTGCTGCTTATTTACATCTTTACGAAGAAATTCTCTACATTGAATTTAGCGTGAGCTGAAGCTTTGTGTAACAGGTAAAACTTGGCAGCTTTGTTGCATCGAAAATTTCACAAGAAAAGCAAGTTGCCCTTACAGACTTAACTTCTTTCAAAATGGCAGAACGTTTTTATTGATAAAACAGCATGGTCAGCAATCAGCATGTATTTGAAAATTCAGGCAGAATCGTTTTTAATAATACTTTATAGTTTGCAAGAAAAAGTATGTTTAAAAATCTATCAATATGTAGCATTTTATCTGCACTAGCAAAAAGAGGAAGGATGAAATGAGCATAGTCTTAAAATTCACACATACACATTATATTTTCATACAATTATATTTGTATAATTTTAGTGTTTGATAGAATAAGCTGATAATAAACGAACAATGAACAATACACTTTAATGAATACATTTATTTATTGTCCATAAAGATTTTTGAACGTCTTCCTTTACAAAACATTACTCTAGATAAACGACATCCTCTTTTTTTCATATGGTGACGCAGCTGACGCTTTTCCTTTTTGTTTTCCAGTTCAATTGGATTCTCCAAAGATTCGCCATTCAACCACAACCATTTTGCACAGCAGGAAGAAAAAAAACACAATATGAAGAAAAGAACAAGGCCATATTTCAACCCTTTCATACTTTACACAACAGCCCAAGAGAAGCTTGACGTCCAATTCTTCAAGTTTCAAAGTAGATTTACTGCCAGTACATCATTCCTATGGCACAGCTATATTTATACCATCAAGCATCAAGTGTTTTTAAACACAGACATCAAGCTTCTTAACAGCTTGAGTTAACTAAATGGATTCGTGCTGTTCTTAGTTTGGATAATACCTTTCAAAGTCTTTAAGCAACAAGAGAACACTTGACAGAAAAAAAATGATGAGAACTGAAAGCCGTGTCCTATTACTATATGTTGCTTTATTGGTTAAATGGGTATTCAGTGTTCTATGTTTTGCCAATAATTTCGCTATTGTTTGGTTCATTTTAGACACAGCTTGAGCATAATTATATTTTGTATCGGTGTTCAACTGCATTGAAGCATCAAGTGCTTTTATAAACTGTAGTGACAACGTGTGTTAAGTACGTAGCGTTGCCAGATGGAATAGAATCTTCTAACTTTGCAAAACAGCATTCGCAAAAAATGAACATTCGAAACTACTTGTTTTTTACATACGAAATTTTTTGTCTGAGTAATCTTCACATGCTCCTTTAAATAAAATCGTTACAGTTGTACGTGTGTGAAATAAATTTTCATATTTTTATTAAATCATTAATGACTTTGAGCTGACCTACACAATTTTAGCCTTACTTGTGATAAACAAAGTACATAAATCAGTTCCTGTTATACAGATGCTACAGTTCCATTAAATAGAGTGCTCATACAGTATAATCACCGCATTTTTAATCAATAACAGCTATTTTAGTTATTTCTTGTTGGAAAATATCTTCAATCATAAATCCCCACGTAAAGGCGCTGAAAATGTAGTAAATAGGGGTTATATAATCTATACATATATACATGCTCATTATATGTTGGCCTATTGCATTTTCTAATTTTAGCTTTAACTTCATAACGTAAGAATAATGTATTACATGATATTACTGTCATCCTATATGCTCATTGTCTATATAGTTAGTAAAACTATATAGTAGAATTCCCAGAATTCATGTAATCTTAGAACTCTCTATGAAAAGTTCATGACATAACATATAAGTTCATTTTGACTTCTTGTAATGTCAGCTGTTTTTTAAATGCTCTGAGCAATTAAAACATTAGAGAGTCATATATAGTTGCGCATGAGATGCGTCAAAACTCTATGCATGTGATGGACATGACGGATCGTAGAACTAAAAATACTTTTTTGTTTGTTTTATAAATATTTTAAAGGCGTCGTTCAGTTTGGACTATTCAAGTAGAAAAAGATGTTTGAATGTTAAAACCTAAAATATAGTGTAAGAACAAAGAGTGTTTGATTGTTGTCTTCAACTAATTTTTTATTATTTTTTGCTTTTCCATCTAAAATTCAACGACGAACAAACCCATGTATACATGTTTGACTTTGAAAAACGGAATTATTTTTGTCATGTATAGACTCTGTCTTACGGTCACCTTTCATAGTTCTATAAGCACAATTGTATTTTCTAGTTGACATAGAATTTTTTCTTTTTCCTTTTAAATCTGCTAATCTTTATAATCTTCTTGTGAATGCTGTCATGGAAAAGATTATTTCACACCGTACTCTCCACAAATTGGTCTTAAAATTCATAAATAACACAAACAATTTCATCTCAACCATTCTCAATTCTCAACTATGAACTTTGATAATACACTGGACACCAGTTTGTGGGCACAGATGCAATCAAAGTATCTAAGCACCTGCGTAAAGGCAAGTTAATTACAACTTGCCACACAATAATCTGATCAGACATCATACCATCAGACTTTGTGCCTGCAAAGCCAGTGAAAGGTACTTCTCATAAAACCTCCAAATCTAAATACGCTTTGTGTGATAAATTAAATATTACATGATATGTCATCTTGCTATAATCGACATTTGACTGTCTCCATGACAAATATGCACAATGTTTGAATTGTCTCCCCTGCAAAATCTCTAATCGTCTTATTTGAGTGAAAGTAGTAATGGAAAATGGGAAAAAAGACTTATCTGATATACACACGAAGAGCAAAATCATTAAACTTATTTTTGAAGAGTCATTCAAAAGAGTCATTCATGAAGACTTATTCAGTAAAAGCTGCCATTGATCAAAATGACGGCATAAGATGCAAACGAATTGCTAAAAGGACTAGGGTGAAGAATTGTGAAAACCCTCAATATTTAGCTCGGGATGAATGGATTAGAGGGTAGTTAGCGATCGTGTGAGTTGGTCTGTTAAGGACTTAAACTTTAAATTAGGAGTAGGTTATCGTATATGACGGTGGTGTGTATGCAAAATCATTGGAAACCATTCAAGAATAGCCTTAGAATCAGAGGTACGAGAGTCAGAAACACTGATTGTAATTACTTAACATTACTCACTATGTCTAACGATGGTAGATTAATTAAAATCATTTTGAAGAATTGAATATTAAAGAAATAGCAATATTCGTCTTGTGTACAAAGGTGTGGCTGTTTGTATTAGTTTCAGTGTTGATGACATTTTTATACACTATATCTTATACATTGATTACTGATATTTTTCAACGTCTTTCTTATTAATCTCTCGTGTTTTGCATCATTTACATGATAATTTGACTTATCAGAAAAAGATTATTTCGTGGCATAATACATTTCATAAGTCAATAGAAAGTTGTCAAACTCTGTTGGGGTGAAAACATACACTTTAAAAGATTATTGTTACTTTGCATAATTATTCAAAATGTGTTTTTAATATGTCAAAAGAAAAGTGTTTTTGTCATTGTGCGCCAAGACTCTTGAAAGAAGAACATCAGGTAAGAGAGTGATTACACAAAACATAAACTAGTTTTAGTTAAAAAGATTTGTAAACGGAGACAAAAGTTTTACCATTATGTATGTGCATGCAATTCTCTATACATTGCTTATAATTTTCACAAATCCTTAATTCTACTCAAGTTACGGCAAACGTTGTCAATACATTCGCACAGACGGAAATTTCCTCTTGCAATTAATGCCGAATAAAATGTATTCTCAGTTGATTTATTCACACCTGTGTTTATAAATATTTTTTTCTATTATATAACATGATATGTCAAAGAAAATCGTTGTTGAGAAAAAATCTCATTTTGTACACTACAAAATGATGTCCTAGTCAATGTTACTATTAGCTACGAGCAAAAAAGCAAGGGATGTTTCGATTTTTTCTCAACTCACCTCGATGTGAGTGGCGGTTTGATACCATGCTACACAATGCATATCCAATTATATTTTCACGATACTAGCTAAGCTGTTTTCCAAAAATTGTTTGTTGATCATGTTGAAGAGTGATCTGGTGTGTACAGGTTTGTTGATCGTTGCAAAATGTATCGGCAAGGACTTGTATTTGCTGTCAAATAATTAGAAACGTGAATGTGATGAATGTTTTTTAGTTGTATGGGATATCGAATTTTTGTTCCAACGTTTTATGGTCTAAATTGACATTAGCATTTTACCTCTTAACTGATGTAACTTTTCCTCATGCATCACAAGATTCTGATTTGGATGAAATTTTTGCATTAGTAATTTGAATTCTTTGCTTGCTGGTAAATGCATTTGATTTTAATGGGGTCATAATGTAGTTAAAAATGTTATATAGGTTTCAGCAAGGTTTGCGTCAGTTAACACTAAAAAATTAATGTTTCTAACGTTTTATTAAGGAATACTGCCTATAGTGACATTCGTTAACTTTCTGCGGAAGAGTTGTGAGGTTATTCATTTTATCAATCATTTGTCGCACATGATTTACGTCCAGCAGGGTGAATCATGATTCTAAGAAGCTATTACGTCTACTTTTAATGTGCCCTCTCAGCATAATTAACATAATCAACATTAGTCTTGCGTACTTTAAGTAAGTGGATTTTGTCTGCATTGATCAAGTTAATCATATTTTGACTAATGGACAAATTTTTTAAAGTGTAAGCTTCGTTAAGTGTATGCTTGTTGATGTACAAACTGCGTCATGCATAAACATCCTTGGTAAATGAATCATGTGCATTGAATTCTATTTCATCTTCCAAATCAATTATTTTGATTTAGAAACGTTCAAGGTCTTGCATGAATTACATTTGACGCTTCTAGTGTTGATTTCAAATCGCCTGCTCAAATAAACATATCCGACACGTGAAAAGCAGCTGCACAGGCAAACTGATAAGATTGAATAATTTTCATGGCATGTGAAAGTGGTGCTCATTTTGATGATGAAGTCATTTTGTAATGCACAGTAACATTCTCTGAATATTTGGCTCTGGTTTTGTTTTGTCCTAAAGACACTTCGACGTTGTTTTCGTCATTTTTTTGGCATTGTCAGATTTCTTTAAAATCTGTCACTCATTCATTAAAGTTAATGGGTGAATGTGTCTGGGTCACTGCGTAGGATGATTGATCTCATTCGCAGTAAAACATCTTATTATAGCTGTGCAAATGATTCTCGAATGAAACTCCCAGTTAAAGGGACCTTATCTACATTTAACGTGTCTTCGTCATGATGCAAAATTCGACACACTGAGCCATCTCCATCTTCAACAACAGCATTAGAAGGCAATAGTTAATCACACCTTAATAATGGAATTATATTTACTTAATAAAAATTTTACAAGCAGATTAGAATTTTCATCACGTATAATATAAACGTTAGATGGATGTCAATGAAATACAAAGAATACCATACATAAGGCAAAAGTTTTCACTATTCGATTAAACAATGAACAAGGTATGATGTTCTCATTGAATATTTGACAACTACTCGCTAAAGACAAGGATGGGGCAGTCTTTGCGGTTATTAAAATTTGTGATTACCATATGCATTTAATCACGAATTTCAACACTCTTTATTATGCATCACGTATATTTAACTACTCGTTTTGTGTTACACAACTTAAGTTACCTGAGATATTTCCATTATCAAAACAGTGTATGATAATCTTGTTTACTAATGTGTTTTTGTTTCTTGTTTATTCATGCTTTCCTTCAAATACTAACACGACACTTGTCGAATATTAAATTAAAAACACGCTCCGAATATTTCAAAATATATACACAAAGATTTAGGGAATAGAATGAAAAAAAATCCACGAGTGAAAGCAAAATTACATGGGAACTTCTAAAATAACGAGGTTTCTGTATTTAAAAAGTGCTCCTACAAGGATGTTAAATGTATTATAAACAGACAAATGACAAAACGTCTGCCGTTTTTCGCAAAAACGATTATCATATTAACGATCTTCTATAAACGCGCGGCAAGTTCACCAGTGTGCGGCGGGCTTAACATTTTCTATAAACATGCCGTAAATATGATACAAGATTTCCGGAAACCCACCCCAAATAAATCTGTAAACAATTTGTACGTGCACGACGATGAAATAACAACTTCAACACACACAACGCTTACTTGATTTTAGGGGGAACATACTCTGTCAATATCAAATTCAAAGTGAAAGAAAAGCAGCGCACCATATTATCTAGGGTCTCACTATGATAATCAAAAGGCATTTCCAAAACGTCTATCCTTCCTTTGTCTATGGATTCCTTATTCTTACAAGTTTGATGAAAGTACATCCAATGGCCAATGCTGGTGATTTGGGAAAAATGTGCAACTCGACTCAAACAAACCAGACAAATTGCACAAGGAATGAGACTGGTTCTCGTAATCAAAGTGATGTAAGTTTATAAACAAAAACTCTATTGTATGTAACTGCAAAAATCATTTTATTTGGTCTGATGAATTAATTTAAAGTCAATGAAATGTTTTGTTGACTGGAAAGAAATGCATTCAAAGAAATGCGGTAGGTGCAAAAAAATCTCATATTAAAAAAAGTCAAAAAGCCACAATAGTTTAACTGAAGCCATTGGGTAAAGTCATCTTATTGAATAATCTTATAATTCTTGTATTTATTATTTCCTTTATGCGATTTTTATGACATTATCATAAGTTGGTTTACCCCATGCCTCAAACTGAATACGTTTAAAAGGAAAGATTTTTCTAACAAAAAACACGCGGAACTTTAGCGCTTTTATTTTAGATACAAACTTCTTCACAGTATAATGTGCAGTGATTTTAGAATTATTTGCAACATTTCCAATATTTATAAGACCACCATCAACTACAATAATTGTACCTCTCCATAATTTCTGTAAGTTATTTATTATCATATGCTACATCTCGAAATCAAATAGTCTAAAGTGTTCACAATATTTTAATACATGTCACACAAAAAGAGACTTAGAACAAAAATCATATCAAATCTTCGTGTCAAGCGCAGCAGAAATGATTTCCGTTTCACAATTACATTTGCGAATTCTTTGTTGCTGTCCAACTTCTGTAGAAGTCTCCACATTCCCCCTTTTGCTAGCATGTAATATGCAGCAAAGACTGCAGAAAATGGCAGTTCTGCGAGTTCGTATTTGAAATTTTTATAACTCATCCCCGAAGCCTTGAGGTGTATCCGCTTCTGAAATGCTTCCGTATTCTGTAATTCGTAACACTTGCTGAGTGCAAAACTTGCACACTTGTAGTGGAAAACTATGTCTAAAAGAAATGAAATAGACTGGCAAGAGATAATGCATTGAATTAATGCATTTCTAAAATTTTTGCAATTTTCTTCTCAACCATTGAGAAATATGACAGTTTACAATGCATTTAAAATTTTCATATGTTTCAATGAAGAACAAACCCAAGAACAGTATCTTGTTTGGTTATGAAACATTAATAACAATAATGGTGGTCTCATTGCAACATATAATAAACATATATTTATGTATTTAATGATAAACCGAAGAAAAGTTTCTCACTTCCTCAAGATATATTAATAACAACAATGGTGATCTCCACAGTTGGTGTCCTTACAAATGGTCTTCTTATTGTTGTTATTGTGAAGGATCCTTTAAACAAACTAAGACGAGGACCGTGGATTACCATCTTAAGCTTATCTATAGCAGACATTACTGCATCTTTGTCCCAATTCATGATTGTTGGATTGGGTAAATTGTTCGAGGTCAAACCATCAGAAGCTGTCATTTATTCTGTCCTTTTCTTTTGGATGTTTGGGGCTGCGGGCTCATTTTTTCACTTGACATCACTCACATGGCAAACTTACATGATTGCAAAGTATCCCAAATACAAACAACAAATGTTATCTACGAAGAAAATTTACATATTATGCGCCACAGTTTGGTTGATTGCCATTTGCATGGCATTTGGTGAACTCACATCAATTTACATCAAGAAAATTGAACAGCTTATGTACATCTATATCACGGTATATGCTGTCTTGGAAATCGCTGTTTTACTTCAGATCATATTGAAGTGTTTCATACTTAAGGTTGTATTGCAAAGTCGACAAGACACTAAAGTAAATGCTAAACAGCACAACACTAAACACTTTGAAATTGTAAAGACAATCATTGTGCTGAATGCCTTATTACTGGTAACTGCATTTCCTTATTTTGTCGCCAAACAAGTGGAGTTTATTCAAAGGCTTGGAAAAATACAAGGTGAATTGGCTTGGCGTTTTTCTTACTACTACGAACCAGTTGCCATGGTGAATTTTGCTGTCAATCCAATTGTGTATGCACTGAGGCTTCCAGATTATCGAAACAGTATGAAGGCGTTGTTTAAAAAGACTAGAATTGTTTCCATACAAAAACCAGGGCATTCAATCTTTTCACTTCGTACTAGTTCTAGTAAACCTGTATGATAGATAATATGTTCTAAACTCAATTTGATTAAAAATGTACAAATAGTGCTAATAGTTTTTATTGGAAGAATAAATTCCAAAGTGACAAACAACTGTGTGGTCAAAAAAAATTATAACGATTATTACTACAATACTCATCACTTTTTTGATTCTACGTAACTTCAAAAGCGAGAGCAATAATTGTGAATACTTTAATGAGACCACAAATTAAGTAAAGCACGTACATCAGGTACCTGGAAATATAGCAGTTTTGCTGAGATGAAAACCTTGAAAAAAAGAAGAAAGATTTGTTATTTTCATCTTGGTATATTTGAAATGCCAGCGAAAAGTACGTATAGGAATTTGGGGGAGGGAGTACGGCCAATATAAGCCTCTTGAGAGCTGAAATTAAATGTTTCTTTGCACTATAATAACAATGCTACACAAACTTTCCCCTTCTTCTGGACAATATTGCAACAAAATGTGGGGCCAATATTATATTAATATTGCAACAAAAAAGTTGGGGCCAAATATCGTTTCCACCCGTTTACAGGAAATTATCTTTTAAAATCACTGACGTATGTGGGATGTACATGTGAATCCACCACATGCATGTGTACGTCACGAGGCCAATTTAAAAAAAAGCGGATTCAAAAATATCGAGATACGTGTTGACGTGTCATAAACATTATAGCGACTGTATGAATTCAAGTGATCAAATTGTATTAAACCATTCATTCAATGCCAGTCATCCCAGAGACAAGAAATTAGAACAGTTGATTCAACTGTCTGAGATCTCACTATGGTACTCTCACGATATTTCCAAAACGTCCATCCTTCCTTTATTTATGGATTCCTTATTCTTACAAGTTTGATCTCAGTATATCCAGTGACCAATACTGGTGATTTTTTGGAAACGCGCAATTCGACTCAACCAAATCATATAAATAACTCAAGGAATTCATCTGGTTTACACAATCAAAGTGCTGTAAGTATATAATCTACTGCAGTTGTTTTTTCTACGGATCTTATCACTATCTCATAGTACAAACGTTAAACATGTATAGATACAATTAAGAACTAGGAGATGTTCAAACTTTAAAATGCGTATGTTGGCGACAATGTGGTGGGCATAAAAAAATTCTCAAGTTGCTTATACAAACCAGACTTCTAAAAAATGCTGAAAATCCAGTTTCAAATATCAATCTTTTCCCAAAACGTTGAATGTTTGAAATCGCTCTCACTATTTATACGATTTTGAATAAAATTAAGGGGCGCGTGTCCAGATAAATAGTTTTCTATTTAACGATACCATCAAGAATATAAAATTCAAACGTAGCGTCATCAAAGTGCTTTTTCCAGGAAAAGATCTATCCACAATTGTAGATTTTTGAATGTGTCATGTAAATCAATTTCTCTAGTTGCTTCTAAATAGTCAGGACCTAACTTTCCTGACATAAACGCATTACGTGTAATGAAGTGCGCAGTTCAGTAGAGTGCCTTCACAGTAATGAGCGAAGAAAATTCATCAGGTTAGCACTATTTTCCACCCAGCAAACCGCCCTTTACTTTGAAATATAATATTTTACACAATATAATATTTTTCACAATATAATATTTTATATAATATTTTACACAATCGTCGAAAAACGACATATTTTCCAGCCTGGATTATAAGTTTATAACTTAAGGTGGTTGCATGAAAATTTATACTGCAACATTTATCTGTAAATATTTTCATATGTTGATATTAAAAACTGTATATAAAAATATAAAATTACTCGCCATCTCAAAACGACCTAGCACCAGTGCATGCATGGTTTCCTTTTAGCTTTTGGTTCTTTCCCATTAGCCGCCATCTTTAATTTATTAACGATTGTGTAAAGTAAAGGGCGGTTTGCTGGGTGGAAAATAGTGCTAACCAATTCATCAAGCAACTAGTTCATGATTCTCAGTGTACGACTGTAAAAATTATCATTTATCTATGTGCAATTATGAATGTATATTAAAACATTTGACGTCTTTTCCTCTTTCTATATTTCATATGAAACCGAAGAAAAGTTTCTCAATTCCTCAAGAACCATTAATAACAACAATGGTGATCTCCACAGTTGGTGTCCTAACAAATGGTCTTCTTATTGTTGTTATTGTGAAGGATCCTTTAATCAAACTAAGACGAGGACCGTAGATTACCATCTTAAGCTTATCTATAGCTGATTTCATTGCATCTTTGTCTCAATTCATGACTGTTGGATTGGGTAGATTGTTTGAGGTCAAATCATCAGAAGCTGTCATTTATTCTATCCTTTTCTTTTGGATGTTTGGGGTTGCGGGCTCATTTTTTCACTTGACATAACTCACATGGCAAACTTACATGATTGCAAAGTATCCCAAATACAAACAACAAATGTTATCTAAGAAGAAAATATACATATTATGCGCCACAGTTTGGTTGATTGCCATTTGCATGGCATTTGCTGAACTCACATCAATTTACACCAAGAAAAATGAACAGCTTATGTACATCTATTTCATAGTATTTGCTGTCTTGGAAATCGCTGTTTTACTTCAGATCATATTGAAGTGTTTCATACTTAAGGTTGTATTGCAAAGTCGACAAGACACTAAAGTAAATGCTAAACAGTACAACACTAAACACTTTGAAATTGTAAAGGCAATCATTGTGCTGAATGTCTTATTACTGGTAACTGCATTTCCTTATTTTGTCGCCAAACAAGTGGAGTTTTTTCAAAGGCTTGGAAAAATACAAGGTGAATTGGCTTGGCAATTTTCTTATTACTACGAACCAGTTGCCATGGTGAATTTCGCTGTCAATCCAATTGTGTATGCACTGAGGCTTCCAGATTATCGAAACAGTATGAAGGCGTTGTTTAAAAAGACTAGAATTGTTTCTATTCAAAAACCAGGGCATTCAATCTTTTCACTTCCCACAAGTGCTAGTAAACCGGTATGATAGATAATACGTTCTAAACTCAATTTGATGAAAAATGCACGAATAGTGCTAATAGTTTTTATTGGAAGAATAAATTCCAAAACAACTGTGTGGTCAAAAAAATTATCCCGATTATTACTACAATGCTTATCACTTTTTTGATTCTACGCAACTTCAAAAGCGAGAGCAATAATTGTGAATACTTTAATGAGACCATTTGCGATTAAGGAACATTTGCGATGTAACTACATTCATCGTTCATAACTTTATGATTAATATATAAATTTTTTATTTGGGTATAGTATAGGTAATATTAGCATAGTTTTGAAGGAAAGATGATAGAAAAACAAACTATCATGATTTGTAGCGAGATTTAACTGACTAAAATTTACAGCCAACTTTTTGATTTTCTTTTCATGAGAAAGATCAGGAGTGTAATACTTTTTTAACGGTACATATCATTAATCGAATAAACCTTGAACTTAGAGACGTTACAGATTTGCTTAATGCTTCGATAAAAAATTTGAAAGAAAAAATGAGTCTTGCTTGTTTGTTAAGTTTTCTATAGCTTGTTGAAAAAATAACAACAAACTTACTTCATAAATCGGCTGCTACTTGGTGGTTATATTGGAAAACAAAACTTCGGTATAAACAGAACTTCGTTCCATCGCTCAAAGAGTAAGTTGATCTGTTCAAGATAAAGAAAATGTGTACGCAGCTAACGTACAGTCGCAAGTGCACGGACAGCTTAAATACAGAATCCTTTCATCACAGGCATATGAGCCAAAAGAAACAATATCGATGTACCATCAAAATGAAATTTGCATAGTTTTTATTCTACCTGCGTTATGATGAAAAGTTTGCTTACACAAAAAATTCTTGTGATGACCCAAAGCACAAACTTACATTGTGTGCTGAAACAGGAAATTTTGATATAGCATTTATTAGTACGTTATTCTTAACATTGAACGAATTTATGTTTTGAAATATGACAAATCAAGATACCTACAACAAAGACTTTGCTAAGAATTCTCAATAACATGAGACCAACCTGGGCCCTGGTAAAGCCATAACTTTTTAATAACAACAAGACTTTCTGTACACGAATAAAATTTATTTTGGTGAGTGAATCAGTTCACTGCAATATTGAAGAAAGTAGAATTCAATACATAACGTGGAGGGACATTCGTTTCACTTTCTTCATCAATATACAGCCAATTTCCATTTTCTTCTTTGTCAGTACTTCCTGTATACAAAGGAAGTTTGTGTACATCTTCATGATGCCCAGCCCAAGTTTTAAAGTAGTCGGACGTAGCCGTTAAGCCACTTCGGAGGTCAACATCAACCCAGAAAAATATTTGCTTTGTCTGTTTCAAAACACCATATATAGACACGCGGTCTTAATTTACCATACCATATAAGACATTTTATTTTGCTATCAGTTGAGTATTTGTGAGAAGAAGAGTTAAGAACGCATCACACGACGAACGCGAAAGTCGTTTTTTTATAATATCCAAAATTGATTGTAAGAAGGCCAGCAGACGACAAAGAAGTTAGTCTTGGAGGTATATAATAATTATTATTTGTAATAACAGGATAACTGCGTTTTACCAAACCCTGTCTTTCGTTTGAGCTGATAGTACGATTGATAAAACATTTCGACATGTGGTTTATCGAATCCTTTTAAACCAAATTTTAGTCATCGATTCATGTAATTACCAGACTTTGTACACTTCAAATTAGATTTTGTATAAGTAAATTATATTACTTTTTTAGACAGGTGGAACCCGGCGTACAATTCCTTAAATAAAATCAATTTCTGAGGTCACGCTATGGTACCTGTACAATATGTTTATAGATACGTTGTTTTTATCTGTTTGTTGAATATATATCCAGTGCCAGTGCCAGTGGTCAAAGCTAGTGACAATTCTATCAAAATGTGTAATTCGACTAAAACAGATCAAATAAATTGCACAAGGAATTCCTCTGTTTCGCAAAATAATACAAATGTAAGTATTATATAAAAAGTATTATAAGTCATGAAAATAAACTTTGTTGACTGCAAAGAGAAATGCATTCAAAGAAATACATACAAGCTTGCGAGAAAAACGTAAACGCGTTTGCTCTTTTGTATTACTCAACAACGTTACATACAGTGATTTTATCATGAAAGTTGACATTTTGAGAATAAGCAAAATTATTATGTGCAGTTCATTTAATTAGCATTTTGTGGCTTCATGGTAAGCTGTAAAGATAAACATTGCTATCCAAAGTTATTTGGCAAAATCAAATAATCGTATGATAAAACATGCATAAAACGATTTCACCAATATCTCCGAATACAAACGAAATTGACTTGATATTGTAAATATTCTATGCATATTTACAATATCAAGTCATTTTCACTTGCCTGCTTTCTTCAAGAGTTCAAGAGTACCAAGAAAAAGACAATATCTGCATATCTCTCATGCATATCAAGAACTCATTTTTTTATATGTACCGAGATATGATATTTTCATCAATATCTTCTCTATGTAATGAACTAGGCAACTACATGATATTCAACATTGTTTGTTCATCGTGAAATTGGAATTGTCATAGAAACAGCAAAGCTTGTGTTGGTTGCCTTGATAAGAACAAAACATAAAAATTACAACATTCCTCAAATTATGTTTACTTTATGTAGTGGCGTAAAAGTAAGCCCGTATATTTGGTCTTGCTATGCGAATATATCACAGTTCACACACAGTGGAAACTGAAAAATCAGTTCCTACAAAAATAAATAATGGCAATGTTCTCAAACTCATATATAAGACTAAAACTTAAAAGCTTATGCAAAAGTCGATGATATTAAAACGACATCATTTTAAGTTTGGTCATCATTTGCAACATAAACATAAGCATAAGAAGAATTGACAGTTGATAATCTTTTGCAGTTATGCTCATGTTTATACTTTTGCCGAAAGTGAGAACCAGGATTTGAGCGTTATAATTTAGTTCCTCGTCTAAAAGAACAAATTTTGTTTTTAAAATATTGCAACATATAATAAACATATATTTATGTATTTAATAAGAAACCGAAGAAAAGTTTCTCACTTCCTCAAGAAATATTAATAACAACAATGGTGATCTCCACAGTTGGTGTCCTAACAAATGGTCTTCTTATTGTTGTTATTGTGAAGGATCCTTTAAACAAACTAAGACGACGACCGTGGATTACTATCTTAAGCTTATCTATAGCTGATTTCACTGCATCTTTGTCTCAATTCATGATTGTTGGATTGGGTAGATTGTTCCAGGTCAAACCATCAGAAGCTGTCATTTATTCTGTCCTTTTCTTTTGGATGTTTGGGGCTGCGGGCTCATTTTTTCACTTGACATCACTCACATGGCAAACTTACATGATTACGATGTATCCCAAATACAGACAACAAATGTTATCTACGAAGAAAATTTACATATTATGCGTCACAGTTTGGTTGATTGCCATTTGCATGGCATTTGCTGAAGTCACATCACTTTACATAAAAAAATTTGACCAGCTTATGTATATCTATATCACGGTATATGCTGTCTTGGAAATCGCTGTTTTACTTCAAATCATATTGAAGTGTTTCATACTTAAGGTTGTATTGCAAAGTCGACAAGACACTAAAGTAAATGCTGAACAGCACAACACTAAACACCTTGAAATTGTGAAGACAATCATTGTGCTGAATGTCTTATTACTGGTAACTGCATTTCCTTATTTTGTCGCCAAACAAGTGGAGTTTATTCAAAGGCTAGGGAAACTACAAGGTGAATTGGCTGGACGTTTTTCATATTACTATAAGCCAGTGGCCATGATGAATTTTGCTGTCAATCCAATTGTGTATGCACTGAGGCTTCCAGATTATCGAAACAGTATGAAGGCGTTGTTTAGAAAGAAGAATACTGTTTTTACTCCAACATCCCAGTCAACAACCTTTTCCTTCCGGTCCACCAATGAGACATTTGCGATGTAACTAAATTCATCGTTCATAACTTTATGATTAATATATAAATTTTTTATTTGGGTATACTATAGGTAATATTAGCATAGTTTTAAAGAGAAGATGAAAAAAAAAGAAACTATCATGATTTGTAGCGAGATTTAAACTGACTAAAATTTACAGGCAACTTTTTGAATTTCTTTTCATGAGAAAGATCAGGAGTGTAATACTTTTTTAACGGTACATATCATTAATCAAATAAACCTTGAACTTAGAGACTTTACAGATTTGCTTAAAGCTTCGATAAAAAATTTGAAAGAAAAAATGAGTCGTGTTTGTTAAGTTTTCTTTAGCTTGTTGAAAAAATGACAAAAAACTTACTTCATGAATCGGCTGCTACTTGGTGGTTATATTGGAAAACAAAACTTCGGTATAAACAGATTTTCGTTCCATCGCTCAAAGAATAAGTTGATCTGTTCAAGATAAAGAAAATGTGTACGCAGCTAACGTACAGTCGCAAGTGCACGGACAGCTTAAATACAGAATCCTTTCATCACAGGCATATAAGCCAAGAGAAACAATAACGATGTACCATCAAAATGAAATTTGCATAGTTTTTATTCTACTTGCGTTATGATGAAAAGTTTGCTTACACAAAAAATTCTTGTGATGACCCAAAGCACAAACTTTCATTGTGTGCTGAAACAGGAAATTTTGCTATAGCATTTATTAGTACGTTATTCTTAAAATTGAAAGAGTTTATGTTTTGAAATATGACAAATTAAGATACCTACAACAAAGACTTTGCTAAGAATTCTCAATAACATGAGACCACCCTGGGCCGTGGTAAAGCCATAACTTTTTAATACAACAAGACGTTCTGTACACGAATGAAATTTATTTTGGTGAGTGAATCAGTTCACTGCAATATTGATGAAAGTAGAATTCAATACATCGCGTTCAGGGATACTTCGTCTCACTTTCTACATCAATATACAGCCAATTATCCATTTTCTTCTTTGTCAGTACTTCCTGTATACGAGAGAAATTTGTGTACATCATCATGATGCCCAGCCCAAGTTTTAAAGTAGTCGGACGTAGCCGTTAAGGTACTTCGGAGGTCAACATCAACCCAGAAAAATATTTGCTTTGTCTGTTTCAAAACACCATATACATACACGCGGTTTTAATTTACTATACCATATAAGACATTTTATTTTGCTATCAGTTGAGTATTTGTGAGAAGAAGAGTTAAGAACGCTTCACGCAACGAACGCGAAAGTCGTTTTTTTTATAATATCCAAAACTTATTGTATGAAGGCCATCAGACGACAAAGAAGTTAGTCTTGGGAGGTATATAATAATTATTATTTGTAATAGCAGGATTACGACGTTTTACCAAACCTTGTCGTTCGTTTGAGCTGATAGTACGATTAATAAAACATTTCGACATGTGGTTTATCGAATCCCTTTAAACCAAATTTTAGTCATCGATTCATGTAATTACCAGACTTTGTACACTTCAAATTAAATTTTGTATAAGTAAATTATATTACTTTTTTAGACAGGTGGAACCCTGCGTACAATTCCTTAAATAAAATCAATTTCTGAAGTCACGCTATGGTACCTGTACAATATGTTTATAGATACGTTATTTTTATATGTTTGTTGAATATATATCCAGTGCCAGTGGTCAAAGCTAGTGACAATTCTATCAAAATGTGCAATTCGACTAAAATAGATAAAGTAAATTGCACAAGGAATTTCTCCGTTTCGCAACTTAATACAAAAGTAAGTAGTATTATGTAAAAAGTATTATAAGTCATGAAAATAAACTGGAGTGCTTTGTTGACTGCAAAGAGAAATGCATTCAAAGAAATACATACAATCTTGCAAGAAAAACGTAAAGGCGTTTTTTCTTTTGTATTACTCAACAACGTTACATGCAGTGATTTTATCATGAAATTGGACATTTTGAGAATAAGCAAAACTATTATGTGCAGTGCAGTTAATTAGCATTTTGTGGCTTTATGGTAAGCTGTAAAGATAAACATTGCTATCCAACGTTATTTGGCAAAATCAAAGTGAATTGGTTGGGCGTTTTTCTTACTACTACAAACAAGTTGCCATGGTGAATTTTGCTGTCAATGCAATTGTGTATGCACTGAGGCTTCCAGTTTATCGAAACAGTATGAAGGCGTTGTTTAAAAAGACTAGAATTGTTTCCATTCAAAAACCAGGGCATTCAATCTTTTCACTTCGTACTAGTGCTAGTAAACCTGTATGATAGATAATATGTACTAAACTCAATTTGATTAAAAATGTACGAATAGTGTTAATAGTTTTTATTGGAAGAATAAATTCCAAAGTGACAAAGAACTGTGTGGTCAAAAAAAATTATAACGATTATTACTACAATACTCATCACTTTTTTGATTCTACGTAACTTCAAAAGCGAGAGCAATAATTGTGAATTCTTTAATGAGACCATAAATTAAGTAAAGCACGTACATCAGGTACCTGGAAATATAGCAGCTTTGCTGAGATGAAAACCTTGAAAAAAAGAAGAAAGATTTGTTATTTTCATCTTGGTATATTTGAAATGCCAGCGAAAAGTACGTATAAGAATTTGGGGGAGAGAGTAAGGCCAATATAAGCCTCTTGAGAGCTGAAATTAAATGTTTCTTTGCACTATAATAACAATGCTACACAAACTTCCCCCTTCTTCTGGAGAATATTGCAACAAAAAAGGTGGGGGCAATTACGTTTCCACCCGTCTACAGGAAATGAATTTTTGAAATCACTCACGTATGTGGGATGTACATGTGAATCCACCACATGCATGTGGACGTCACAAGGCCAATTTAAAAGAAAGCGGATTCAAAAATATCGAGATACGTGTTGAAGGGTCATAAACATTATACCGACTGTATGAATACAAGTGATCAAATTGCATTAAACCATTCAGTCAATGCCAGTCATCCCAGAGACAAGAAATTAGAACAGTTGATTATACTGTCTGAGATCTCACTATGGTACTCTCACGATATTTCCAAAACGTCTATCCTTCCTTTATTTACGGATTCCTTATTCTTACAAGTTTGATCTCAGTATATCCAGTGACCAATACTGGTGATTTTCTGGAAACGCAAAATTCGACCCAATCAAATCATATAAATAACTCAAGGAATTCATCTGGTTTACGCAATCAAAGTGCTGTAAGTATATAATCTACTGCAGTTATTTTTTTCTACAGATCTTATCACTATCTCATAGTACAAACGTTAAGCATGTATAAATACAATTAAAAACTAGGAGATGTTCAAACTTTAAAATGCGTATGTTGGCGACAATGTGGTAGGCATAAAAAAATTCTCAAGTTGCTTATACAAACCAGACTTCTAAAATATGCTGAAAATCCAGTTTCAAATATCAATGTTTTCAGAAAACGTTGAATGTTTGAAATCGCTCTCACTATTTATACGATTTTGAATAAAAATTAAAAGGCGCGTGTCCAGATAAATAGTTTTCTATTTAACGATACCATCAAGAATATAAAATTCAAACGTAGCGTCATCAAAGAGCTTCTTCCAGGAAAAGATCTATCCACAATTGTAGATTTTTGAATGTGTCATGTAAATCAATTTCTCTAGTTGCTTCTAAATAGTCAGGACCTAACTTTCCTGACCTAAACGCATTACGTGTAATGAAGTGCGCAGTTCAGTAGAGTGCCTTCATAGTAATGATCGAAGAAAATTCATCAAGCAACTAGTTCATGATTCTCAGTGTACGACTGTAAAAATTATCATTTATCTATGTGCAATTATGAATGTATATGAAAACATTTGACGTCTTTTCCTCTTTCTTTATTTCATATGAAACCCATGAAGAGTTTTTCACTTGGCCAGAAACATTAAAATGGTGCGGCGGGCTCATTTTTTCACTTGACATCACTCACATGGCAAACTTACATGATTGCAAAGTATCCCATACGTAGCCGACAGATGTTGTCTACCAGAAAAATATACATATTATGTGCGACTGTTTGGTCGATTGCCATTTGCATGGCATTTGGTGAACTCACATCAATTTACACCAAGAAAAATGACCAGCTTATGTACACCTATATCACGCTATATGCTGTTTTGGAGATTGCTGTTTTGATCCAGGTTATTGGGAAGTGTTTAGTACTTATAATAGTATGGCAAAATCGACAAAACACGACAGTAAATGCTAAACAGCACAATAGAAAACATCTGGAAATGGTAAAGACAATTATATTGCTAAATATCCTATTACTGGTAACTGCGTTTCCTTTTTTTGTCGCCAAACAAGTGGAGTCTATTCAAAGGCTAGGGAAAATACAAGGTGAATTGGCTTGGCGTCTTTCTTACTACTACAAACCAGTTGCCATGGTGAATTTCGCAGTCAATTCAATTGTGTATGCACTGAGGCTTCCCGATTATCGAAACAGTCTGAAGGCGTTGTTTAAAAAGAACAGTTTTATTTCTACTGATACAGCACAGCAATCGACAACCTCGTTCCGTTCTGCTGATGAAACGATTGCTTTGTAGATAATATGCATTGATTAATATGTATTGATCATATATAACTTGATTACAAATAGATATAATGATTATTTTTTTAATATAGGTAATAATATAAACTTTAGTGGAATTTGTAGTTATACTTTTGTGTAATTTTTAGTGCAATGTTTGGATTTGTAGCCAATTTTGCCTGCAACAAACTATTTTGATAACCACATCAAAACATAGTACAATATCGTATCTAATAATACGTTGTCCTTCTTGCTGCTTATTTACATCTTTACGAAGAAATTCTCTACATTGAATTTAGCGTGAGCAGAAGCTTTGTGTAACAGGTAAAACTTGGCAGCTTTGTTGCATCGAAAATTTCACAAGAAAAATCAAGTTACCCTTAAAGACTTAACTTCTTTCAAAATGGCAGAACGTTTTTCATTGATAAAACAGCATGGTCAGCAATCAGCATGTATTTGAAAATTCAGGCAGAATCGTTTTTAATTATACTTTATAGTTTGCAAGAAAAAGTATGTTTAACAATCTATCAATATGTAGTATTTTATCTGCACTAGGAAAAAGAGGAAGGCAGAAATGAGCATAGTCTTAAAATTCACACATACACATTATATTTTCATACAATTATATTTGTATAATTTTAGTGTTTGATAGAATAAGCTGATAATAAACGAACAATGAAGTGATGAATTTCGTAGTTTGTGTTTGGAACTGACGT